TAATTAAGAAAGGACTTGTATCGCTGAAGTTCCCCGGAAAGAATTTATACCGGAAATTAAGGAAATTATCAAACGAGCAGATACCTAACAATATTAATAGCGTTTCAACTAAGATCTTGTTCGCTGTAATTCAGCCAGCTGCCTTAGTGAGCTCTGGTATTGGGTGAAAGGTCATGTTGACAGAGGATACATCAGAAGAAAAAAAAAGAGCAGTTGAAATAACATAATGTTACGACAGCGGAAGTCACGTGACGCTAGTAACACACCATTAACTTCTAGAAGGATCCTGTCCCTTCCTGAAGCGTCGGGAGGCTACTAGATATGCGGTAGTCTTGTATATATAAGACAGGTAAGAACTGACGGCAACAAGGTAATGTGTAATTGACAGTTGAGTCGAGCACGTGAGAAGTTCGTTGTGAATTATAGCGTTTGTTATTGCGCGACTGTGGAAATTAAGTGTTTTGCAAAGTTGTATTTAGAAAGAATAAACCAGTTTTATTTGAGAAAGGACTTGTATCGCTAAAGTTTCTTCGGAAAGAATTTTTACGGAAAATTAACTAACGACCAGAGACGTAACAGTATGAACTAGGAGACGTAATAGGTGCTATTATAGCGTGCAGTGTACAAAGATATTTACACTATAACGTGCGGTTTACACAGACACTATCATCGTCACCGTTTTAACTTTCGTTTATTTGCAATTGGCGCCAGTTATAAATAACGCTTTTAAACTAATAAAGTACAAAACATCATTACATAACGTTTAGGGGGCAAATATAATCGGAATGAAATAACTTCCAACAATCAAAACTAGCACAATTATAACCTACATTTAAGGTATTCTTTCGGAACACACAACTTATCAAATTATTATTATTTACTGAACAAAAATGTGGATAGATAAATAATTTAGCAATAAATTATGTTTTAGTGAATCATTAAAACGGCGATGACGATAGTATCTGTGTAGACTTCACACTATAGTGTAAATATCTTTGTAGACCGCACACTATAGTAGCACCCTTATCGGTATTCATCTTTAAACAAACTTCAAAATAAAATCATGAATCACGTGTTTCTCTCCTTGTACGATTCAAGTCTAAATGTTAAATATTTTTGCATTGTCAACAGTGTAGCTAAAGTGTATGGTTTCGAGTGTTAGCGTAGTAAAAGAAAGAAACAATATTATATTGTTACCATGGCTTAAATGTACAACGTTCTGTTTTCATCTTGTCTGTTAGCGATGCCAAAGTGTGCGATATTCTGTACATGTTATCTGTCAAGGTAACAGTAGTGTTCGGCATCTTATTGGGTCAATCAGTGTAGCCAAAATGAGCAACGTTCTATTTCTGTCTGTCAGCGATGCCAAAGTGTGCGATATCCTGTATTTTATCTGTCAGTGAAACATTAGTGTTCGGCATCTTATTTGGTTAATCGGTGTAGCCAAAATGAACCACATGTTTAATTTCAGAAACTGGCAGGCTAACAAGCAGTAGTTTTGATTACAGAAATTCCCATCTAAACTTTAGCAATACATATTTTCAAAAAGTTTAGTTTAAAACTGTGTTATGAAGAAACATCTACCGAACAAAAATAAATTATTACATTTGTTTCTCATTCTGAAAAAAGCTAGTATATATATATATATATTATTCTAAAGCTGTCTGTTAACGATAAATGTAGGAATATAATGTGAGGGTCGTGTAAAGCTATGAAACCCTGTTTTTGAATATTTCTAATAGTGGGTCGCGAGTTCGAATCCCCGTCACACCAAACATGCTCGCCCTTTCAGCCGTGGGGGCGTTATAATGTGACGGTCAATCCCACTATTTGTTGGTAAAAGGGTAGCCCAAGAGTTGGCGGTGGGTGGTGATGAGTAGCTGCCTTCCCTTTAGTCTTACACTGCTAAATTAGGGACGGCTAGCGCAGATTTGCGCGAAATCCATAACAAACAATTCTAATAGTGGCGGACATAAGCGTTTCTCAATCAAGCAAATAAAGCAAAGCAGCTTAGATACGAGTTTTTTAGTATCGTTAATAATTAGTTATGGTTTTTTCCCTACCTTTCCAGAATCTAAAAAAAAAATAGAAGGTAGGTACTTTTGTAAAGATCTGAATCATAACCTAGATTGAACTTAAAGTTATACTTAGATTCCAGTACAAGAGTTGGACCCCTCTTTCCAAAAGTCCGCCGGTGGATCAGCGGTAAGTTTGTTTACTTATAACGCTAAGATCTCAGGTCCATTTTCACGTGGTGGACACAGTGCAGATAGCCCATTCGGTACCTTTTCACTAAAAACAACCATCTTTCCAAAATCCCGTGTCTGCCCCTACAATTCATGTCAAAAGGAAAACATTTCTACCTTAAGGTTCGTGCCTGGGGGTCGCGGGTTCGAATCCGCATCCCACCAAACATGCTCGCCCTTTCAGCCGTGGGGGCGTTATAATGTGACGGTCA